TTTTTTAAAATATCGTCTCTGGATGTATCCCAGGCTTTCCCTAGGTGTTATCATGTTGCATTCCCTCCAGACTGGAGCAGTGCGGAGAGCAGCCCAGAGCAGGTGAGAGAGTATCACCCTGAAACATCCATAGCATTGTGTGTTAAGGTTTTTATTTTGTTTTGATATTATCTTTTTGTTTTTAAGATAAGGTTTTAGTCTGTAACCTGGCTGGCCTCAAACTTGAGGCAATATTCCTACTTCAACTTCCTTTCAATGGTTTTTAAAAACTCTTAATCAGCATTCTGGAAACAGAAGCAGGAAGAGTTCTGTGAGTTTGAGGCTAGCCTGGTCTACATAAAGAGTTCCAGAACAGCCAGGGCTATGTAGGAAAACCCTGCTAAAAAAACACACAAACAAAAAAGAGCAATTCTAACATCTTACAAAGTCTTTTTATGCCTTTTTATCATGAAATTCTCTGAAGCTTTAACCGTAGGCAATTGCTAATGTTTTCTTTCACTAAAATTTGATTATTTTGTGGAATGTCAGATAAACAGAGCATACAGTGAGTAGATCCGCATAGAATTATAATAAAAACAAAAATATTAGCCGGATGGTGGTAGCACGTGCCTTTAATCCTAGCACTGGGGAGGCAGAGACAGACAGATCTCTGTGAGTTCGAGGCCAGCCTGGTCTACAAAGCAGGTTTAAGGAAATCCCTGTCTCGAAAAACCAATATTGAAATGAGGCCAGCAAGATGGCTCAGTGGGTAAAGGTACTTGCTCCCAAACCTGGCAACTTGACTTCAATCCTCAAGACCCACAGAGTGGAAGGAGAGAACTAACTCCTAAAGTTGCCCTCTGACCTCTGCACAAGCACAGTAGAACATGTGCGCCCCTCCCTAAATAAAGACAATGTGATAAAAATATCAAAATATAAAGAAATGTTTTGGTTTCCCTTTTTGCATTATTCAAAACGCATTATGTAAAGTATGCTCCGGCCTAAGAGTCGCTCAGTGTGGAACCCATGCTTAACACATTCAAAGCCCTGGTTTTGAATGTGAACTTTTTTTTGCTTTGAATTCTCAACTCTTCCACACAAATTAAGAGTAGTGCGCAGCAGGGCTTGGAGCACTTTCAACTCAGCTCTCACATCAGCACACACAGGACCAAGACCTCTCAGAACCGGGCTTCCAAAAGATCCAAGTCGTTCTGTGCTCAGTGGCAGGGTGCTTGCCTAGCATGCACAAGGCCCTGGGTTCAATTCCTAGCACTAAAGCTATCCAAAAATGTATTTAATTCTATGCTTTGGTGAGCTCTTCTGGGATTTGACTCCTTACTATTTCATTGTGGTTCAGTCAGCTTCCTTCAACGTTCACTGCAGGGGAATGAGTATAAGGATTGCTCGGCTGTGACCGCACAGAGAACTGAATCTTGATGCCTGGAGGTGTGGCTTAGCATGGGCAGGGGCTGGACTTGGTCCCTAACTCCAAGAATAAGTAAACGTTTCATGACTCAGCACACAACAGACACACACATATCTACATATCATACACACATTTTCAGGCAATAAAATCTCCCCTCCATATATGTGGCTTGCTTGGATAACTTTTTTTTTTAAAATACTGGTTGTGACCCACCAAATTGATTTCCCAGTCCACTGATGAGTCCCAACTCATCCAGTTTGCTAAAATGTTGTCTGAGGTTTCTGTTCCGCCCGGTTCCCACAGTTGATAAATCCCAAAGAAATCACACAGAGGTCTTGGGTCTTAACAAAGCACCCGTGTCTCCTGAGGCCTCCTCTTTTGAGTTTAGGCAGCTCCTTCTGAGGGTGAGCTGGGGCGTGCATGGAGTCAGGTTATTGAACACTTCCTCCTGAACTGTGGAGTACGCCATCATTTTCAGGGAGTAGTTCTTGGTGGTTGTGGTGGAAGGGTTGGTGAGAGATGAGACCCAGACAGATGTCCTGTTCTTGGCTTAGCCATCGAATGGACAGGCAGCCTTTGTAGTGTTGGCCCCTACCTTGTGAGGTGGGTCAGCTCTGTGATGACCAGGCAGAAAGGGTTATTGGGGCTGGATAGCAGAAGCCACCTTGAGCCTCCTGTCTGGCAGAACTTGTCAGGAGAGCCCAGGGTCAGTGAGGGAGGCTAAGAACTGCCCAGGTAAAGGATGCCCACAGCTCCCTGGGCTGGGGAAACCCTGTAGGAGGCCCAGGGTAAGTGGAAGCAGACTTCAGAGAGCAGGGCAACTCCACTGGGAGGCAACATAATCTCTCTCTCTCTCTCTCTCTCTCTCTCTCTCTCTCTCTCCCCCCTCCTACCCTCCCTCCCTCTCTCTCTCTCTCTCTCTCTCTCTGTGTGTGTGTGTAAAAAGACTAGAACAATAAGTAAAGGGAAGCCGCTGCTTGGGTTTGCTTGGTAAATACGCACAAGGAGATGTTTGTCCAGATCACTAGCTGGGAATGTGGTGACAAAGTAGTCTGGTACAGTATGTGGGAGAGCTGTGGCTATTCTGTGTGGGTATCCTCCTGCCCGCCCCCCAGCCTGGCACAGGAGGCCTTGTGATCCCGGTCGGGTGGATGGGTGGGTGCTCTTTATGTGACTATTTAATTCTCTTTCCAGTCTATGCTGTGAATGACAGAGGCCAGGCTTTCAGAATAGGCAGGCTTGTCATTTGCACTCAACGCCCCCATGAAGATTTTAACCCTTCCTCAAGCTAATCAAAATCAATGAGAAGCCTCAGAAAGTTGTGATGGGAAAGTACTAGCAGCTGGCCACACTTTTTTGTTTGTTTGTTTGTTTGTTTGTTTAGTTTTTGGCTCCTGAGACTCTTAGGTAGCCTAGGCTGGCCTAGAACCCAATATGTAGTGGAGAAGGGCCCCTGGTCTTTCCTCCACTACTTCCCAAGAGCTGTGTTTAAAGGCAGGTACCACCTTGGTGGCCTGGCTTTGTAGGCTACTTACAACTCTGACCTTTCAGGCCCAGAGCCTGAGGCCTTACCTAATTGAGTGAGCACTGCAGGCTCCGGGGAACTTGCTTTGTCGTTTCTGCCTCCCACCTGCTTCCCAGCATTTATGACTTATGAATATTCATGAGCTAGCTTTAGAATGCAAAGTTTAGAAGCAGCTTTTTGCTTCCTGGTCTGCAAGAGTGTTTGTAAAGAGGATCCTGGTGTTCCAGTTCTGGGGAAAACGACATTTTTAAGATTTCCCTTAGGTGTAGGAGAGATTTAAAGCCATAATGAGTTCAGTCTTGAAAAGGATTAAGACTATAAATTCTAGGTCATTTTATTTGCTTTTTCCTTGGTTCAAATGGCTATTGAATTCCTGCCTTTCTCTCTCTCTCTCTCTCTCTCTCTCTCTCTCTCTCTCTCTTTTCACACTCTCTTTTTCCTTCCAGGTCTAATGTAGCCCAGGCTGGCTGTAAACTTGCTTAGTAGCTGAGGCTAGCCTTCAACCTATGGTCTTCTTGCTTCCACCTCCCAAGGGCTGGAGTTACACGTCAATCACCACGCCACTCCCCCCACCCCGCTTTCCAGTAGCCATTCTCATTGCAGTTCGGGAGTGGGGGCGCTTCCAGGTGTGACTCGGATAAACACACAGACGTGGAACCCATTTCTACAGACCCTGGCAGTTTTCCCTCTACAGTCCCGCAGAGGCCCACACTTCCTTTTCTCCTTAGTCTGGAATACGGGTGAGAACATATTCTTCAGAGAACAAGCCCATTCTGAGATAGCCGTGTCCTCCCTCGTTTGAAACATCCATTTCACCTTTCAGCAGTCAAGGGCGCTGCCAGCTCTCTTCCACACAGAGGCTAGTCACACATGACAATAATAATATGTACACCCTCCGCCCTCCAGCCGCAAGCAGCAGCACATTTGAGAGGCTGAACCAGTACCGAGGTCACCTGGAAATACATCACCCCGATTAGAACGGTGGCGGGCAACCTCGGTGCTTTGGGATCACCTGGGAACTAAGTCAGAATGTCTGGGGCAGGAGACCCTAGGTGTTCCAACATGCAGCCAGCGCTGAAGACTGCAGGTACCAGCAGCACAGCCGTCGGTTTACCGTTCATTCCAACTAGGTCTCCCTTTCTCTCCTGTCTTCCCAACACGGTAAATTGTAAACACTTCATCATCACAGCGCTAGGTCTGTAAGAAAGGATTGGGGGCTGAGGGAGGAGGGGTGAACGGGGAAGGAGAGGACAATGATGGATACACGGAAAAGTCCTTTGCCCTGGAAACACGCTCATTCGCTTCTGAAACGAATGCCGTGCCCCCGGAAGTTCGTTTGTCCTTCCCTTGACTTCCACAGGGGAACCAACATAATCATCTCTTTGTTAACGATCCACAGAGGCTGACTTGCGCCCGAGTCCTCCGCAGCCAGGGACATGTGCATGCCTACGCGTGTGGCGATGGCATCTCTAGCCTGTTTACCGAGCTGTGGAGGCGAGCGCCGGCGCCCTCTACTGGTCGGAAATAAATGTCCCTCCAAGTGTAACAATTGTCGCCTGTGGATGAGCTAATGGATTCACATTGAACTCGCAGAAAGGACACGGTGTCGTGGGGATCCCGGGGCAGTCCTCCGACATCTGGCATACCACCGGCTTGCCTAAAGATGCTATTTCTTTGATGGGGGGTGGGGTGGTAAGAGCATATTGGTATTGGCTGAGAAACTGAGCGCTCTGCTTCTCAGTCTTTGGGGCGTGTGCTTGTGGTGCTTGGTATCTGCCGGTGGGGCGTTGTGCAGTAAAGGAGACACAGACCCTGGGGTATAACTGCCGCTGGTTAAGAGAGCAACGAGTTTAAAAGCAGACAGATTTGTTCTAAGAATTTCGTATATGTCGGAAAGGCATAAACAATCGAAAGATGTATTTCTTTTGTTTTTTGGGTTTTTTTTTTTTTTTAAGGCGTCAAGACACAAAACCTTTTCCTTTAAGGGATTTGCTCACCCAGGGGGAGATTTGATGGTACTTACGGACTAGGGCTTCACATCTGCATCTGCCTCGCCCGGTGAGAGCTTACCTCCCCAGGTTGACTGGTTCTCAGGACACAGGTGCTGCTGTTGTGGCTGCATGCATCCTAAGAGTGGCCGCTCCACCTTTCAGCTAGAATCCCAGCAAAGGTTCTCATCCGGAGGCCCCAAGGCACACTTCTTTCATCCTTGTGTCTTCCCTCGTTCTCTCGGGGTTCAGGGCAGCGATAAAGGAATAAAGAATCCGGGGTCTGTCACTGTCTGTCGGTTCTCACTGCTGCATCTCTGCTAAGGCTGCAGAAGTCAGTGCAGTAGCGAAACTGGCTAGGGCTCCTCGTGGTTGCCACGGTAACCAGGAGCAGGCGCCGGCCCTGGTGGCTGAGGAAGGCTGTGGAGAAAAGGTAACGGATAAGCAATGACGCGTTGGTCTCTCTCCTGGGCATCGGTTGAGCCTCAAGTGACCCAAATGAAATGGAGTCCCAGATAACCCATTCTTTAGACTCAAATCCAAACCACACCATCGCTGCAGTCTTTTTTCTTCTCTTCTCTCTTCCCAGTCAACACACATAGGAGCATTTAAGGATTAGAAATTCCAGCACTACCCAAGACTTCTTTCCCCAGAGGATCCTGTACACAAAGCGGAAGGTTTGCTAGGCTCGCTCTTGGAAACAACCCGCAGCGGGAACAGCTGCGGATGAGCTGGGCGAACCAGAGAAGGAAGGGACCAAGTGGAGGAGGATGATGAGCGGGTGGGTCACTTAACCTCTCTGAGCTGTAACATGAAAGACACAAAGGTGTCTTAGGAAAAGCTTATCAAACTGAGTTGTTGTCACTGTTATGACCATGGTGGTGGTGAGTGTAGGCTATGCTCCCCAAAGACACAATCCCAAAGGCCATAATCCCAAGTGACAAACTATCTCTAAATTCTAATCTAACCCTGAAAGATTAACATCTAACATTATAATTATTCTGGAAAATAATCTGATTTCTTTTCTTCTTTCTGTTTTTTAAAAGGCAAGGGTCTCGATCACACGGCTGGTCCTGAGCTTACTGTGTATTCATAGTTAAGGGTGACTTTGAACTCTTGACTCTCAAACAAACAAAAGTAACAATAAAATACTAGGGAGGAAATTTTGTGAGTGAAGAACTGGGGAGGTAACTCAGTTGGCGGGGTGCTTAACTAGGATGTATAACGTTCTAGAGCCAACAATGCGGGGGTTACTAAGAACAAATTGGATGAATAAAAAAATGTACTTCAAGAAGAGATCAAGTCTGTTATCATGGTGCATGCCTTTAATCTCAGCACTTGGGAGATAGAAGCAGGTGGTTCTCTGTGAGTTCGAGGCTAGCCTGGTCTACATACTGAATTCCAGGACAGTCAGAGCAAAACAGTGATAAATAAATAAATAAATAAATAAATAAATAAATAAATAAATGGTAGTAGATCAAAGGACTGAAGCAAAAGACCCAGTGGGTAAAAGCACTGACTGCTCTTCTAGAGGGGCTAGGTTTGATCCCTAGCACCTCTATAGTGGCTAACAACTGTCTGTAGTTCCAGTTCCAGGGGTTCCAGTGCCCACTTCTACTATCCATGGACAATGGCATGCACATGGTGCACAGACATACATGCAGGTGAAACACAAAACAAACCTAAAACAAAACAAACAAATAGAAAAGAAAGACTAGATCAAGGGATGTGTGAGGGCTCAGCAAGGAATGGCACTTGCTGCCAAGACTGAACAACCTACGTTTGATTTCCGGGACCCTCGGGGTAAAAGGAGAGACTGGAACCCCAAATTCTCCGACCTCACCACTCCCCAGAAAATAAATAAAATTGATGAAAATAATTAAGCAAAGATCAAGGGCAACTTCACAAAAGTAGTCCACAAAAGCTGGCTGACTTCCAGGATCACTAACTACGCAGCCCTGCAACGTGGTCATGTATAAATCTCCTGGGATAATCCATCTGCATCCATTTTCCATGTAGCATGACTCTTTTGAAAATTCCCCTAGGATTTTTATGCACGCTGATGGGAGCATTCCCACCGAATGCTCCTCTCTCCCGGGCCTGTTTCTGTGTTGTCGTGGGCATATGGCACCCATTCCACATCTCTCATGTACAGACCATGGATTTGGCAGAAGTAAAACTGGTGATTGAGCAGCAACAGCGTTGCTTAAGTGGCTTCTTGTCCTACTGTGCACATAATTATTTTCCAACCAGTTAGACACTTGGCTGGCTTCTTCAGGCTAATGCTGCTTTTAATTCATTAAAAGCTGCTGGAATTTCATCAGCTGGGTGGAATGCCAATGTAGACAAATGATCTTCTTTTTTCTTTTCTTTTTTTCCTTTTTTTTTTTTTGTCTGAGACAGGGTCTCTCTACACAACCCTGGCTGTCCTGAAATTCACTCTGTAGACCAGGCAGGACTCGAGAGATCCATTCACCTGCCTCTGCATCCCAAGTGCTGGGATTAGAGATGTGAATTACCGTGCCTGGATTATTTTCATTTTATTTTTCTATTCTTTTAAGGACAGAACCTGTGTAACCCAGGTCGATCCCTGAAACTTGAGTTTTCTTGCCTCTGCCTCCCAAGTGCTGAGCAAACAAACCTTGTTTACATGAAGTTTTCATAACTCTTTCCTAAACCATCTGATACTCCACCAAATCCATTGGGCTGAATGGGACAAAAATAAACTTTATTGATAATACCTTGAAATCCATTTACAAAATGCTTACTCATGCCTAATTTTGAATCATTCATTATGGGCTGGATATTCATTTGAAATGTTTCCTTTCTTTTTTTTTTCTTCAAAATTCACCAAACCTTCAAACTTGAACTTATAAAGTGGTCTGCTGTAATTGAGTAAATAAATTTCAGAATTTCCAGATCTGTGGGACATGAATTGTTTGTGTCTGATAGAAATGACAAGGTCAATTTTGGCCAAAGGGAAGCATGAGCTAGTTCTTCTATGTAAATTCATTGGGAAATGTAAGAGGCCTTTCTGCTTTGACAGTCAAATTCCTGACTGAGAGCAGTTAACAATTTACTGAGTGTTGCTTGCAAAAGAAGCCCTGTATCAGCTGCCAGGGGCCTTGTCAAATTCTTCTTATTCTATTATTAGCAGCATTTTTATCCTTTTCTTTTGCTTGAGGCAGGGCTCTTGAGGCTGACCCCAAACTCCCACCCTCCTGCCTCAGTCTCCTCAATGTTGAGATTGTGTGTCACAGCAGCTGGCTAATGATTTGAAGTTAGCATGGTGCTGTGCAAAAGGGCCAAACATAGTAAGAAAGTAGACAACTTGACAACTGTCTTATGTATAACACGATTCGGTCTCAGAATCCAGTTTTCCACATTTCTCATATCGCTCTCTTTTTCATCAGGAATTGTTCTGACTTTCAGATTTTCAACATCTGGGATTCTAATCTTCTCTCTCTCTCTTCCCACCTCTTCTTTTTGTTGTTTAATTTTTGGTTTTGGTTTTGGTTTTAGAGTCTTATTGTGTAGCCCTGACTAGCCTGGAACTCACTCTGTAGACCAGGCTAGCCTCAAACTCATAGAGATCTGTATGCTTCTCTCTCTAGTGCTGGCATTAGTGGAGTTCCTTACCAGGAGTTGGTTTTGAGACAGGGTCGGGTTGACTTTGAACTGTTGATCTTCTTGCCTCTACTTCCCAGGTTCTAGGATTACATATACCTAGGATTATTATTTAGAAATTTTGATCTTTGAGGATTTCAACTTTCAGGATTTCGTCATTCAGAATCCATCCCCTCTTGAGACTTGAATGACAACTGGATTAGGTGCCGATGACCATGGCTGTTGGTACCTGGCTCCCTGCAGGAGGGTTATAATCAAAGAGCCCTTTCTAGGGTTCAATTCATATACCTCCATGGGTGCTGGAGCCCAAGTAGACCCCTTCAAGCTCCCAAACAACTCCCTGAATTGTCACGGCACATAGACCCTGAAGAAAATCTGCCCAACACTGAAATAAGTTAGAGGAAGATGGGACAGATCGAAACACATTCCTATGAGTGTGGACTGAACACATTGTGGTGCTGTAGTCAGAGAGGATCCTCGGAGGGTTTGTTTTTAAGGTCACTGACCTCAGTATTACCTCCTGCAGAGGCTCAGCTGGAGAGAGCAGATGGTTCAGCAGAACTTTCAGAAGATTCATGAGTCAGTGGGAAAGAGAACCTTCTGTCCCCACAGGGCAGTCTTTACTTTTTATCTTTGCATAGTGCTGCCTGCATTTCCATAGGTGCCAGTGTCAGGATTGGGGCCATGGCTCGGGTGAGCCCCACTCTGCATCAGCGTCTGCTCTCCCTGGGAGCGAGCAGGTGCTCAGCTCCAAGTCCAGGGTGAGGGAAGGTGACCTGTTTTCCCTATGTTCTGACAATGTGTCCCTGGCCTTTTTTAGTTCTGCCATTTAATCCTCTTGTCAGTTTATATAAATTTACATTTACTAATTACAGATTAAAGGCTTAGGAGCACAAACAAGAAGTGGCTTGCTTGTGAGTGAGTCACTTTTATACAGCAGGGTAAGTGATAACGCTAGAATTCCTAGCCACATCAGTTGAATACCACCTGGAGAGCCACATCAGTTGAATACCACGTGGAGGTGCCCGTTGAGCCATCCAGTGTAGAGGACAAAAAACGCAGGCCCATTTCCACTTTGTTTGCTGGTCAGAGAGTTTGGAGATGACAAGCATAGTTGCACGTCCCTACCTCAGGATGTGATTGCTTGGTTCGTTTGAAGCTAAGATAGCTCCATGCTGTCCTGACGGTGGTCAGGATGTGCAAATGCACTTCTGCTCCTTCTATTGCAACTATGAGGTCACCTAGGGAAGGGTGGTCTTCAGCATATGTGACCTAGAGCAGCTTCACTACCGAGACAACAGAATGCTAGTGATTTGATGTCTCAGAGTTGACTGTGTGAGTTACCCTTTGTATCATGTTAATAAAATCTTTTGTTGCCTTCTCCCCATTTATGTTGGTATAGAAGTGGTGGAAAAATAAACGCAGGCGAATTTCATGATTTCAGTCACTGGAACGCCCTCCCAACACTTTCTGTGTTTTCTGTCTGATTATTTTTATGTGGCATCCTATTCTTTACTTACATTTCTTCAATTCCCATGCTCCTACCCTGGTAAGAAGTATTTTTGTTGAGACTGGTCCTTGACAACTCAGGGGCCCTACAGTATGCTGGGAGAAATTTCCTGGAATACCTAGAGTCTCTGATCATTTCTCTCCCTTTCCTTATGAAGTTCATCTATTTGCTTTTTTTTTTTTTAATTAAATTTGAGCCAATAGTGGTATCACATGCTTT